AGAAATAGAAAGTATAAACAAACCCATAATGAGTAAGAAGACTGAATCAGTACACACATTTCTTATCTAAGAAAATACCAAGACAGGACAGCTTCACGGGTGCATTCTACAAAAACATTTTTTAAAGAATTTCATTTTTTTTTAACTTTTTCAGAAAATCAAAGAGGAGGCGGGCTGTTAAGCTATAGATGATGGTTTTCATCCGTGGTTACTTATTCACAGTTTCCACAGCCCTTGTTGTTTGTGGTCTTTTGTTACAATGTTGGGTGTGTCAGGCCTCAAGGTCAGGCCTCAGAAACACAATCTCCTACCCTCCTTTCACCTGCCCCAAGACGGGACTCTGATCTCTGACCAAGCCCCTCCCTTTCTGATTGTGGATTGTAAGGTCTTTCCCAGAAACAGTCCTGCCCTAAATGGGGAAGATATACTGACATCATGAAGCGTTCCTAAAATCTCATGAGAACAGGGTTCAGAGAGCCTCCAGAGAGCTGAACGCGTGAAGGTGAAGGAAAGGTGAAGAAGAATTCATCCATATGCTGGGAGAGTGGTGCACCCCAGCTCCCTGGAGAAAAGCTCCTGCACTTGAGACTTTCAGACCTCACCCTGTGTATCTCTTCATCTGGCTGTTCATTCGTAGCCTTCAAAATATTCTTCATCATAAACTGGCAAATGTGTGTGTTTCCCTGAGTTTTGTGAGCTGTTCTAGCAAATAAAAGGGTGTGGGAACCCGAAATTAAAGCCAGTTGGGTAGAGGTTCCAGAGACCCAGATTTGTGACTGTTGCCTGGGGAAAGGAGAAGTCTTGGGAAGGAACCTAGTCCTCAACCTGTGGGATCTGACACTACCTCCAGGTATATAGCATTGAAATTGAGTTGAAGAACACCCAGCTGGTGTCCACTGGCTGGTGGTGGGGAGAAATTTCCATATTTGGTCATAAAAGTCTTCTATATTGTCGAATGCTGCACGGTGAGAGAAGGGAATTTCGGAGCCATTTTCCTAAAGGAGCAGGGAATACCTCCCAACTCATTTTATGAGGCCAGTCTAACTCTGATGCTAAAACCAGAGAAGGACCTTAAAGACCAATGTCCCTGAAGAATACAAATGGAAAAATCCACAACTCTGTATTAGCAAACCAAATCCAACAACACATTAAAAAATTATTCACCAAGCTCAAATAAGATTCATTCCTGGGATGCACAAATGGTTCAACACACACAAATAAATAAACATGAAAATGAAAGGGAAAAACCATATGATTTTCTCAGTATATGCAGAAAAAGCTTTTGACAAAATTCAATACCTGTCATGATAAAAATTCTCAACTGATTAAACATGAAAGAAATATACCTCAACACAATAAAAGCAATAGATGAAAAACCTGTAGTTAATGTCAACATACTTTGAAAAGTTGAAAGCTTTTCCTTTAAGATCAGGAACAAAAGGATGATGCTGACTCTTCACTTCTTTTCTTTCTTTTTTTTTTTTTTTTGAGTTGGAGTCTCCCTCTGTCGCCCAGACTGGAGCGCAGTGGCCGCTCCCAGCCACTGCAGCCTCGACCTGCTGGGCTCC